CAGAAGTACCATTTGTTCAGTGCTACTATAACTTGGAACTATTGTTAAATGAAAGGTCGTAACTCAAGGACTACCTGAATATGGTTAATATCCATCTCAGTGTTGGAGGCACATTTCCCCCCCCCCCCCCCATTTCCTTTTCGTTGTTTATTATTTTAAGGAATCATTTTAATTTTTTTTCTGGGTGCTACAAATGTAAGATACAGTGGCTGTTGTACCTCTGAAAAAACTCTGAATAGTGAATGTAATATAATTGTTTTCCACTTTACCCTGTACCAATTTTCCCTGAGAAGCAAGCAGCCAGAACACTAATAATGACAGACTCACACTACACAAGAAAAATATGCTGGGGATATATAATAATAAATTATGGAACTTGTATACTGCACAAATGTCAATGACTCTGAGCATTATAACTGATACAGTCTCTAGATATACTGTAGAATCAGGGGTGTCAAACTCAAGGTGCTTAGATCTGGCTGTGGGGCTGGGCGGGAAACAGCAAAGCCTCTGCCAGAGAAAATTGAGTTGGGGTGGGGAGCGCACCCTTACACCCAAGCTCCATTTTTGCTGGCAGAGGGCTGCAAGAGACTGTCCAGGCCAATAACGGGCATGGAAGAGCCATGCGTGCCCCCCTCCAAAGCTCAGTTTTCACTGGCAGAGGGCTATCAAACTAAAAACAAAACAAAAGGAGAAATGTTTCTCCTTTTGTATTTGAGCATGCAAGAAGGGAGAGGAAAGGAGGAAGGGAAAGAGGAAAGAAAGAAAAAGGGGAAGATGGGAAGAGAGCAAGGAAGGAAAAATAAGGAAAGGGGAAGGAAGAAAAATGAATGAAGAGGGAAGGAAAAAGAAGAGAAGGAAGGAGAGTATAATAAGAGTGAGGGAGAGTCTCAGGGAAGTCCTGCACAGGTGCCCCCAGCACAAGTTCCATGACGTGCCCACTATGGTCATGCCCAGTGCCCCATCCCCAGTTCTCTGGGGTCAAACACAACCTGATGTGGCCCTCAATGAAATCGAGTTTGACACCCTGCTATAGATAGTTTTATCTATCCCTTCTTTTTTTCTTAATTCTATTATTCCATTTCCTTTATTTTATTCACTATTGGGTTTTTAAATAACATAGCCACTGTTTCATTTTATTGGTAATGGTAGTGGTAGTGTATTAATTTATATTTCACTAATAATAAAAAATCTAAATCTAAACCTGGAAATCTAGAACACAGCTTGAATATTTCATGACTTCTTCCCAAACACATTTCCTATTTTTAAAGATGCCTTTCTCACAAAGATTTATATTGATTTCCTTGGCTTAAAAAAAGTGTGGGGCGGGGAGGGAGGACATGAAATGAAACTATGAATCAAGAGGAAGCCAGTCTCTGTACATCAGACTACACCAGATTTCTACATCCTAGGAATCCAGTGAAAGCTGTATTACTGTCATAAAACTATCTGAATATCTGCACAACTGCAATTTCTTGGGTACAGTAGTTACTATTAACAAATTGGGATGTTTACTTACAACTGTAAGCAGTAGATATTTGGGTGTACGGTATATTTTGCTGTAATCAATGAAGATTCCGAGTGGCTTACAAAACCCTCTTCAGTATAATTAAAAAGATATAAAGAGTAATTTTTAAAAAAAAACCACAATTGCAATAAACTTCCTAAAATACTCAAATGTCAAACATGATGGGCGGGTGGTTGCCTCGCTCATGATTTCAGTATTAAACGTTGTTCTGAACCTTGGCTTACAAATCAAATATATTGAGCAAAGTTTCCCTCATCACTAGCCTCCAAGAGACTTGAACGATGCCTCCAAGATGATCCCAGCTGTGGATTCTGGGAAAGGTTAAGACTAAAACATCTGATGGAGGCAATATCTGGAGTTATTGTTAACGAACTATAGAATAGAATGGAATGGAATAGAATAGAATAAAAGAGTTGAAAGGGACCTTGGAGGTCTTCTAGTCCAACCCCCTGCTTAAGCAGGAAACCCTACATCACTTCAGACAAATGGTTATCCAACATCTTCTTTAAAATGTCAAGTGTTGGAGCATTCACAACACTGGAGGCAAGTTGTTCCACTGATTAATTGTTCTGTTTGTCAGGAAATTTCTCCTC